AAAACGCTGTGAAGAAGGCCCAACCCCACCCACGCAACTACACCAAACACAGAGCAAATATGACTCGGAGTAACCTGTCTTTTGTGCTCATATTAACGTAAAGCAAGAAAAACACCAATTTTTTTAAGCATTCCGGAAAGTCCTTTATTCTCAAGGGACACTTGTGCTAAAGATGATTATATATATTTTACAAATTTTAAGGGTTTAAATTAATGCCTATAACACGAAAAAATTATAAAAATGAAGTGGCAGAGAAGGAGCCTCAAATCTGAGATTTTTCATTTGTTTCCGAATGCATTTTTGGTGTCACTTACTCAGGGATCCAGTTTTTATAAATCCAAGGAATTTCGATGCCTTCTTTGGTGGATAAATATGATTAGATTCAGTTGTGGTTCTACTTTTTCGCCTGTCGATGAGGAATTTGCCTTACTATTTTAAAAATTCGTTTATAAAATCAGTTTGTCGCAATTTAGGTCTTTGAACAGATTCTTAGACACGTATATAGAAGTCTCGATGTTGTAAACAACATTCTAAACTTCTTGTAAATAGCACCTGGAGAGAGGGTGCGACAGTTTTTTGACACAAAGTACTGAACTGTCGTAAATGACGTGAGACGGAGCGGAAAGTGGTGCGTAACGCCCCTTGGAAAATCCTGTCTGTCAACGAATGTATGCACACGCAACCCTCTGGTGTCGTTCGGCGCCTTGCAGGGCTTAAAGCAACCATCCGAGTAGAAGCAGTTACTCTCTGTACTATGTGGGGCTCACACTGCTTTCATACGCCAATTGTTATTTAAGTAGATCACCAAAATGAAGATACCTCATTTGTAATGAAATACTAAGTTTTCAATTTGTATTACCTCCAACGATTGCAGGGAGATGAGATGTTTAAGCATGGCATCTTTGTTGTCTTCACTGCATGCGTTAACAATAACTTCGGGTGCTACTCAATTTATGACTGCTTTGTTACTGATACAAGTGTTTTTGCCTTGAGTTTAAAAATGTTGCGATCTTTTAGGTCCTGGATGAGACATGCTTTGTATCCAAGCCTTACAATCCTCACAATCTCTTGGACTACGTGCAAAATGAAGGCTAACAGGGAATTCACCTAAGCAGCTGTGATGGACTACGTCACTGTTAAATGTGATTCATTGGTGGTGTAGTGCGAGGGTGTTGAAAATCATCGAACTGGCAGGCAGACAACATTTGCGTGAAGGAAATGCAAAGCTCTGACGATGACGGGTCCACCTGCCTTCAGTCACACAAATGCATTCCATTCCTCAAATGGATTGGTAGCTGACAGTAGCACCTTTTTGCACTACCCACCGAAGACAAATCGGCTTTAAACAAAAGCTGAGAGTTGGTTGATATTTCTCCCTATTCTTCCAACTAACTTAAAGAATCTTTGTTCTGCCCACCATTTTTAGCACTTTTTAATAATCAGCTTGAATGTTCTTAAGTATAACAATGCGTGAAAATTTCTGGGATTGCCGCACTTAATTGCCTCACTTCGAGAATTGAAAAACTTAAACAGCCTATAATAAGGCTTTCTTAAAAAGCAGACTTTTTAGCAGCCCATAATTTTCTCAGAATTCCAAATAACACGACCAGCAACAATTTCCGTTGCATCCGGTAATCGGCTGCCACAGTAATCATTCTCGGACCCAATTTGTTCATCATCTACTCTGTTCTGCTCATCTCCACGTTGATTCTCAAAAGCTTTGGCCAAACAATAAATTAAAAATTTCTTTCCTATAGGGTGTTGCTTGACGCCGAATGGGAAGGTGGGAGACTGCTTGCAAAAACCACTTTGTTAGCAGTCACGTGTCTTTGATATTTGGGGGGACTTTTATCACCTTGTCATTTTTCATCGACAAGACATAAGCTAAACCCTTTTAACATCATTACTTCGCAACAATATAAACTTGTAATATTTTAAATATCTTTTTAAAAAAACATAAAAATGATTACAGAATGAGAAACTTAACTAGTAGTATGATGTGATGGCAAATTTGCTTTATCAAGTTGGCAAACTTGTCAGCCATTAATCTTGTCAGCCCGTTCTATTGTGTGTGCCACTCCGTTGGCCTAATTATTCTTCGAAAGTAGACTTTCACCACACGTTTTGTCTCCTCAGGTAGCGGTGCTACCTATCTCCGGGTCATGGAAGAGGCCAATTCAGTTGTTCCGCACCCGACAGCTCTTTCACTTTTACATAGTAAAACTTAAGGGACATGCAAAAAGGTCTAACAATAGCTCTAAAGTTACAAATTTGCAATGAAAATTAGAACTGCACCCCATTTTGGACCAAAGATTTGGACTGTATGCAATGCGGGACATGTCTTTAGACCAGTCTTCAATGGGACAGTAGAGCTTACCAATTATCCTTTGTTAACAGTGAAAAACAAAAAGTACACTAGCCTACCTGTGTGATTATCAAGGCCATGAGACAACTGACACCTCTTAACACTTCTGACCCAGTCCCAGACTGCTGCTCAAATGTTATCAGATTTCAAGTTTCCAAGTTAATGCTTTTGAGGGGATTCCTGCTTTCGGAGGAGGGTGCGCGCGCAGAGAATTTAACGTCTTAAAAGACGCCACTCTTCAAATTTGCTGTCTTAATTGTCTGGCGACAAATTTGTCAACCAAAAGATGAGAGCGTTGACAGGGCCGCTGCAGAGACACTACTGTCTGCAGTCGTTATGAAATATTTGGGTGAAAATGCCCACTAAATAATGGCATTCCTTCTTGTCTTAAGTTTGTAAAAATGTGAATTGTGCGAATATTGTTAACGGAAAAGCCACACGGAAGAGCTAGAAGGTCTGCAGTTCTATAAACTATCCGAGCTGTCTCCATAGCAGGAGAAAACAAATAAAGGCTTGCAACATTCATCGTCCGTGCATAAAACACATTTCTTTCTACAAGTATGGCACACTTTATGGGATCCACAACATCAGCCATACTTTCTAGTGCGGCAATAGAAGCATCAGGACTTTGCAACCGGCTATAAGTTTGTTACTGCCAAAGCAATATTTTCAACACAATAAAGTGGTGAATTTTTATGATGGAAACAAAGCATCCTATCAACATTGCACATTGCCTAATCAACACGATTGTGGAAATAGTCTCAGTACAAACGGCAGATTTACTCACGAGTGATAGGCCACTTTACTACGAACTTCATCATTAAAGTATGGTAAAACGACTGCATAACCTAAAAACCAAAAATATTTAAGAAATCAGTTTGAGAAGGTGAGATCAAGCGCAGCTAAGAAAACGCAACAAGAATCGGTGAGCTCCTCAGCACTACTTGGACTCAAATTCGAGCCAGTGTTTCCCCATAGCACGTAGCCCTGTTAAAGTGCAAGTTTTAAGGTACATAGTTAAGATGAGAGTATCACATAAAATCACTAAATTTTATAGATGGCTCGACAGTCGCCAAATTTTAATTTCGCGATTGTTGGAAAGGACAATTCAACACCTCTTTGCCACCGTTCAAACCAATGCCTTTGAGAGACAATGTCAGCATGAGAGTTACGACCAATATGAAGATGCAATATAAAAGCAGGTATTGCGACGCCTTCAAAATATTCATAGTTTAAACAGCCTCGAGCATTCGATGTTTAGTGAGCGCTTTGCTGCTTTTCCAACTCTGATCCATCGAGGATAACACCTTGATGGTGAAACATCCTCCAGAAGAGTCTCATCCTCATGTCTACCGACTCAATTCTGAGGCATTTACTTTGCTCCAATTTCGATTCCATCACCGCCACCGCAGAGTCGCTGCTACCAATCTGAGTCTCAGGACTGTCATCCTCATCCGTGCAAATTGACACGAGCATTCGGGGTCCCATTTGGAGCATCGGAGGTTCAGTGCTGAGAGGACTCACAGTTTAGTAAGGCTTTTCAGTTGCTGGCGAATGCTAAAAAGGGCTATCGCTTTTGCACTTGAATTGCGTGATGAGGAATGGCACTTCTGTAAAACTACCCTTCGCCTTTCGCGTATGGCAGAAAAAGCGTTTTCGAGGCCGATGTTGATTCGACTTCTACTTCACGACTTGAATGCTGCCGATCCACAAGATACTGAGAGGATGTGAACGAAGTCGAGGTGTTTCCACTGGTCAAAGATTACTTTGCATGGGGTGGTAACAATTGGAGTTCAAAGGCTACGTCAAAGGCACACGACTACACTTTCTGCCGTAAACAAGGCACGTTTTATGGGAGACAAGTCATTAGATCCGCTCCTTAATAATGCAGGCAGAGGAGGAGGACGCCATTACCCCCAGACCTGACACGAGGCCACTGTCGTCGAGGCAAATGCTTCGACCACAGCACTCTAGTTGATGCCACCATCTAGGTGCAAACTTTGCTCTGTTTAGTTATTCGCAGTGATTCTTATGCTAATCACCAAAAGTCCGACTTGGAAATGGATAGTGATGCCGAAATCCTCAGTCAGTATTCTAAAGCTATCAATTTAGATGTCAAGAATGAAAAGATCTGCATAGCAGCACTTTCGCTTCAGCGTTTCACCGCCTTCAAGGTCGCCTAACCTTATTCGGTTTCCTGTCAAGGAGGGCGCATTGAAGGGAGTGAGAGAAAAGGCAATGGAAGCCTTCTCGCCAAATTTACATCACTCATTTGCGTATTCTCTTTCCAACAAATTCTCCAGCTGGTCAATTAAAGGAAGCATTCGTTTCATCGCGCGAAGA